GTTCAGGTCTGGTGAGTTTGCTGGCCAGTCAAGCACACCAACACCATGGTCATTTAACCAACTTTTGGTGCTTTTGGCAGTGTGGGCAGGTGCCAAATCCTGCTGGAAAATGAAATCAGCATCTTCAAAAAGCTAGTCAGCAGAAGGAAGCATGAAGTGCTCCAAAATTTCTTGGTAAACGGGTGCAGTGACGTTGGTTTTCAAAAAACACAATGGACCAACACCAGCAGATGACATTGCACCCCAAATCATCACAGACTGTGGAAACTTAACACTGGACTTCAAGCAACTTGGGCTATGAGCTTCACCACCCTTCCTCCAGACTCTCGGACCTTGGTTTCCAAATGAAATACAAAACTTGCTCTCAGCTGAAAAGAGGACTTTGGACCACTGGACAACAGTCCAGTTCTTCTTCTCCTGAACCCAGGTAAGACGCCACTGACGTTGTCTGTGATTCAGGAGTGGCTTAAAAAGAGGAATACGACAACTGTAGCCAAATTCCTTGACACGTCTGTGTGTGGTGGCTCTTGATGCCTTGACCCCAGCCTCAGTCCATTCCTTGTGAAGTTCACTCAAATTCTTGAATCGATTTTGCTTGACAATCCTCATAAGGCTGCGGTTCTCTCGGTTGGTTGTGCATCTTTTTCTTCCACACTTTCTCCTTCCACTCAACCGCGTAGATTTTTACAAAGCTCATCAGTCTGAAAAGCGAGGTGTGCTCTGATTGGCCAACTATCCAGTGTGGTTTGATTGGCCGAATACCTAAAGCTAATGATGGAAATGTTATGGAGATCGGAGAAATGACAAACAAGCGCGGCATTGTAATCTACTCTCCAGGATCAGGAAACAGTCCTCCATAAAATGTGCTGCACACAAATGAATATTTGGGTTGAAGTGTTCTGGAACAGTGTTGTAAATACAACTTAATCACAGATTTGTAGTTGTGTCCTCTTTTGGAAGACCAAACAAAGTAGTTTCGCTTTCACAACAAAACACACGGTGGCCTTGAGTGAGTGGCGACCGGAGGCTAGAGTGAGCAGAGTGCTAGAGTGAGGAACGGCCGGTGGGCTTGCGGCAACCAAATGTGTCGACCCCGGACTGGACTCCGCTTCATCCACAGTGAAAGCCGATCCGGCGATCCACAGCGCGAAGTTGATGTATTCCCTCAGCGACCAGCACGGATCAGCTCTAGGCATGACGAAGTGGATATCGTCCTCTTTTGGAAGACCAAACAAAGTAGCTTCGCTTTCACAACGAAACACACAGCGCCTTTACGACATGGCAGCAGCAACAATACTACAGCGAGAATCAAAGTTATGCCTTCTTTCTTTGCATGGACATTTGGACGGCGTTATGCAAATCTTCCCACATCGTGATGTAGACATGTGGGGACGTGTTACAACGAGTCGTTTTAGGTAGGTGTGGCTGACTCTTAACTTTTATAAAGAATATCTCTTTGGATTTGAGACTTTAGTCTTTGCAACTTTACAGATATTTTTTATGCACCAAGAGCTTGTAACACTCCAAAGAGAAAGGAAAACTTGAAATCGCATCATATGACCCCTTTAAGCACATTCTTTTAGCAATTTAAAGAGCTGATTCAGGTTACTGGATCACAAAGAGTGATGCTGTTCCTGCCTAATCTTCCTTATCTGCCTAACAAGCAGAACAGCCTGCAAACTGAACCATGCAGATTGTGTCAGGACTTTTGCAGGCTTGAAATATAATATCACTCCCTCTTCATATTTAAGAGGTACTTTCCACCTCATCAAAATCTACTTTCAATTTATCTTACTTATCTTATCGGAATCCTCTTCTTACCAGTCATAAATAACTAAGTTTGTTCCAATCAGACAAAGGCAGGTCCGGTCATTTGGAACATCTGGTTCAGGATGGAATGCTGATCCACACACAGTTGTCGCCGTCACTGTCTCTGATCAGAAAGCTCTCCATTCCTGTGATATCAAAATATAACATTTAAACAAACAGACCACTGTTACTGATTTACGGTTAAAGTCAAAAGTTTACATACACCTTGCAGAATCTGCAAAATGTTAATTATTTTACCAAAATAAGAGGGATCATACAAAATGCATGTTATTGTTTATTATACTGATCTGAGTAAGAAATTTCACATTAAATGTTTACATATAGTCCACAAGAGAAAATAATAGTTGAATTTCACAAGATTACATACATGATTCTTAATACTGTGTTGTTACCTGAATGATAGACAGCTGTGTGTGTGTGTGTGTGTGTTTAATGATAGTTGTTCATGAGTCCCTTGTTTGTGCTGAACAGTTCAACTGTTCTTCAGAAAACAAATTCTTTGGTTTTCCAACATTTTTGTGTATTTGAACTCTTTCCAACAATGACTGTATCACACACAGGACAACTGAGGGACTCATATGCAACTATTACAGAAGGTTCAAAACTATATACCTAAATATCTAGTTTTTAATGATAGTTGTTCATGAGTCCCTTGTTTGTGCTGAACAGTTCAACTGTTCTTCAGAAAACAAATTCTTTGGTTTTCCAACATTTTTGTGTATTTGAACTCTTTCCAACAATGACTGTATCACACAGGACAACTGAGGGACTCATATGCAACTATTACAGAAGGTTCAAAACTATATACCTAAATATCTATATATATATATGACATATTAATTTGTAAATTTAATTTAAAAATATGTCAGATGAGCAAGAACTCATGGCCTTTTGCAAGAAACATTCCTTTGAGCCACATCAGTTCATGTTGAAAGCATGAGCCTTATTAATATTTAACTCGTTATGATTTATGTCTATATGGTTGTACAGGGTTGTAAATGAATAGGAGAGACTGGATTACCACTTTCATCCTAATCATCACAGCCATTCACCTGTCTTGTTTAGAGCGCTCCACTGTCCTGTAGGAAAAGTTTAGGCAATTTTAGCTTATATTATCATATATAAAATCTAAATATTCACACTACAGTTCAAACGTTTGTGGTCAATTAATTTTATTTTATTTTATTCAAGCCATCATGCATTACATTGATAATAATGAAAATAACAGTAATCAGCATATTAGAATGATCTCTGAAGGATCATGAGTCACTGAAGACTGGATGCTGATGCTGAAAATTCAGCTTTGATATCACATGAATATATTCCATTTTGAAACATACTCAAACAGAAAAAAACATTTATTTTAAATTGTAATAATATTTCACAATATTACAGTTTTTCTGTATTTTTAATCAAACAAATTCAGCCTTAGTGATCATAAGAGACTGTTTTCAAAAACATACATGGACCATTTTACAGATGTCCTCCTACTACATTTCTGGACTTGTTGAACATTTTAGTTGCGTTGCTGTCTATGGAGGGTCAGAGAGCTCTCAGATTCCATCAAAAATATCTTAATTTGTGTTCCGAAGATGAACGAAGGTCATACGGGTATGAAACGACATGAGGGTGAGTAATTAATGACAGAATTTTCATTTTTGGGTGAACTAACCCTTTAAAGGGGTCATCGGATGCAAAATTCACTTTACAAGTTGTTTGAACATAAATGTGTGTTGGAAGTGTGTTTACACAACCATCCTATAATGATAAAAATCCACCCAGTGTTTTTTTTTTTTAAATCCCCATTTTAAAATCCCCTTTCTCAAATCAGGCTGTTCTGAGATTCCTGGCAGAATGTCATAGTTCTGCACAGGCCCCTCCCACGCTAGTTGATTGACAAGGCCTTCTTACCATAGACCCGCCCTGAGTGCGCTGTGAGCTGTCCGCCATTATGTCCACTCCAGTGCAGGGGAAGACAAGAATGTCTCCGATTAAGCGATTGAGGTGTTTTGTTGTTGGATGTAATAATGAACATAGCAGTCGTCATTTACTCCCGACATCTGAGCCGCTGAAGACGCAGAGCGTTACTTTCATTTTTGAAGGGAATAGGCAGATCCCGATCGACCTAAATATGTCTATGTTCGCACAAATCATTCGTGATCCAGCTTCATCTACAGTAGAAGTGAGTATAAGGATTTTTTTTATGAATCTTTGCAAACTGCCTTTCCTAATATGTGCTAGTTAGCAAGTTTCACAGCTGAAGTTTACTGCCTGCTCGTCACCCGACAGAAGAGAGGGGCGGGGTTAGCAGAGCTCTTTAGCATTTAAAGCAACATGGACTAGAACGGCATGCTGAAAACAGAGCAAAAGGGTGTTTTTTTACACTACTATTGAGAAATTTTAACCAAAGCATGTTATAGACTTTTCATGCCGTGTGCCGTGTTGCTGCCGTGTGGTTTGAGTTTGAGCTCCGTCAAGTTAATTCTTTGTCGTCTAATTTTTTATCTTAAAATCAATTTTATACACCATCCTTTTTCAGTTTTATAACGTGTGAATATATCCCCTATCGTATTCTACAACAAAAACAATTACCACTCCTCATAACTGCACATTTAAAATCAAATACTGTATATTATAATTACAAAAGCTCCAAACTCTCCTGTCACATTGAAGTAAAAGAAGTGTTCAAACTCACTGCTTGAATTTGAAAATCACACCAGCAACAGCAGCAAGAACAGCTAAGCAGCTGACAAAACCAAACAGACCCCAACAGATGGTGCTGGATTCTGGAAAGATGGAGACAAGTAAAAAATGTCAAGTTCACACATCTGCAATGTTACTGTTATTCTGAAAAGGCAGACAAATGCTATAGCTGTTTGTACAGACATGGGTTGTCACATTTTAGATTTATCCTGGATTATCACACACAGGATTGAAATTATGATGATACATGAAATTCGGTTAAAACAATCACAGTTTCACAGTTTTACACAAACAATATGCACTTATTGTAGACTTTTAATTTTTAAAAATAGTTTTATCTAAGTGTTGCATTCATTCTTATATCTTACTGCCAAATGCATAAATGTAATTTCATAAACTGAAATTCAGCATTCTCAATTCAGTTCTGAGAAGCACACAACTTTTTTCATAGCATAAACACTTCAAACAACATGTACCTTAAATTATAAAAACAAAATAGACTCACCAGTATGAACATTCACATACAGAGAACCTAATGAACTTCCATACTGGTTTGAAGCATTACAGATGTACAAGCCATTAAAGTCAGAGGACCATTTTGGGACAGGAAGCTTGTTGCCTTCATAATAGAGAGTATTGTCTCTGTTAATAGAGATAGATGAAAGATCATTGAACATGTTCTGCTAGTACATAACAGTACACATGATGCTCCGTAGTAAAATATATCTGAATAAAAACACTGAAACAAAAATGGATAACATCTGGAAAATTCAACTAGCAAACACTGGCCAACACCTCAGCAACTTGGTGGAACACCCTAACATTGCATCTGTCTCTCTCTGAAACATAAAACCTTCAAGCAACTAAGCCTACAACCTTTGCACTTGGCAAGACACAATAACAGTAAGTCGGCATGAAATTAAAACGGACCTTATTTACTTTCTTAATGCATGCTACTGGTCTTATTGTGAATGATTCAGCCATGCATTTCATTTTTAACCTTGCAATCTTTAATCAAAATGTCGTAACTTGTTCTCCCTGTGATATGACTCACTTGATATCTTTGACGCATGTACATCCATGTTGCAATTATGCCAGTCACATTCAGATCTTCCTCCATTCCAATATGCACTGCTGACTCTTCACAAACCAATCAACAACCGATGGATAAAATGTCTTGTCCCTATGTTTTTTGTCTTGCTCCCTAAGCTGTTTCACATGGAAATATGTCCCAGTATAGTAGTAAAGTCTACAAAGAGATTGGCAGTTTAGCCAAAATATGCAAATGTAACTTGTCTTCTTTGTGCAGGTGTTAAAAAATGGTTAGTTTATAGAATAACAACTCCCACTGAGATAGATGCACTCTGAAAAAAGATGGTTCTTTAAATGTTCTTTACATGCAGTAATGGTTTTATTTAGAACCATAGCATTCTGAAGAACCCTTTCATGCTGAAATGGTTCTTTGTGTTAGGGTTTAGGGTTCTTTATTCCCGCCCTTTTGTTTTTCTGTATCTGTAACTGACAAAGCACCTCATTACTGATTTTCTGGAGTTCAGTGATCCAACTACAGACTGTCAACACACTCTCAACAGGTAAACGATTTCATTCTTAAAATTTAAATACAAATTTAACTTTAAAAATGTAACTGGTTTCCAAACAAACATGTTATTATCTTTTTTTTGTTTTTTGGTCACATATAAGTGTGTGCAGCTCTGCTAAGCTGTGGAAACTTCTCCCATCTTCTCCACTAAGTAAGTAAAAGAGACAATGAATTTATAATTCATATTGTTAGATTTTTTTTAATTATTACTTGGGTTTATGTATAAACATACCCAGTCACAAAAAAATATTAAAACTATCCCATGACTTTATATCACTTTTTTTCTTTTAAGATTGTGAAGGGCTCATATACTGTCCATTTTTGCTTTTGGCCTTCATAAACATAATTGTTTTTACACAAACACATGGACACACTGTAACTCTAAACTCAATTGTGTATTTCAGAGGTATCACATCCTACAACCTCATCATCTGTAGAGAAGAATCGCTACTTAATCACACCAAAATGATGGACGTTAAGGCATCATATTGACTGGATTGTGATTGTTTCACTGAAAGTTGGTCTTAATCACATCTATTTTTTGTTATTATTTTGTGTTTTACTTCTTTATGAATTTATTCATGTTCAATTTTAACTGTCATTCATTAATGGTTTCAGCTAATAACTGTTGTTAAGAGCACTGATAATTTTGCATGTTAAAAAACATCATTCACACAACATGCTGCTGTTGTGGTTATTGTTGTTTTAATGTAAAACCCTAACCGAGGCTACACTCTAAGATGCCTCATCACTGATTTTCTGGAGCTCAGCCATCAAATTACACAGACTGTCAGCACACTCTCAACAGGTAAATCATTTCTTTCTTAAAATGTCTATAAATTATAACTTTCAAATGCTAATTGGTTTCCTATATCTTTTCTCTTTTTAGTTTAAGAGAGCATGTAAGTGTGACCAGCTCTATTCAGTTAAGGATACTCTCATCTTCTTCACTAAGTAACAAATGTAACTTGTCTTCTTTGTGCAGGTGTTAAAAAATGGTTAGTTTATAGAATAACAACTCCCACTGAGATAGATGCACTCTGAAAAAAGATGGTTCTTTAAATGTTCTTTACATGCAGTAATGGTTTTATTTAGAACCATAGCATTCTGAAGAACCCTTTCATGCTGAAATGGTTCTTTGTGTTAGGGTTTAGGGTTCTTTATTCCCGCCCTTTTGTTTTTCTGTATCTGTAACTGACAAAGCACCTCATTACTGATTTTCTGGAGTTCAGTGATCCAACTACAGACTGTCAACACACTCTCAACAGGTAAACGATTTCATTCTTAAAATTTAAATACAAATTTAACTTTAAAAATGTAACTGGTTTCCAAACAAACATGTTATTATCTTTTTTTTGTTTTTTGGTCACATATAAGTGTGTGCAGCTCTGCTAAGCTGTGGAAACTTCTCCCATCTTCTCCACTAAGTAAGTAAAAGAGACAATGAATTTATAATTCATATTGTTAGATTTTTTTTAATTATTACTTGGGTTTATGTATAAACATACCCAGTCACAAAAAAATATTAAAACTATCCCATGACTTTATATCACTTTTTTTCTTTTAAGATTGTGAAGGGCTCATATACTGTCCATTTTTGCTTTTGGCCTTCATAAACATAATTGTTTTTACACAAACACATGGACACACTGTAACTCTAAACTCAATTGTGTATTTCAGAGGTATCACATCCTACAACCTCATCATCTGTAGAGAAGAATCGCTACTTAATCACACCAAAATGATGGACGTTAAGGCATCATATTGACTGGATTGTGATTGTTTCACTGAAAGTTGGTCTTAATCACATCTATTTTTTGTTATTATTTTGTGTTTTACTTCTTTATGAATTTATTCATGTTCAATTTTAACTGTCATTCATTAATGGTTTCAGCTAATAACTGTTGTTAAGAGCACTGATAATTTTGCATGTTAAAAAACATCATTCACACAACATGCTGCTGTTGTGGTTATTGTTGTTTTAATGTAAAACCCTAACCGAGGCTACACTCTAAGATGCCTCATCACTGATTTTCTGGAGCTCAGCCATCAAATTACACAGACTCGTACCTAATTGACACGTTGTTGTTGTTGTTGTTGATTTTATGTAAAACCCTAAAAGACACTTCAAAATATTATAAGACCAGGCAGATAGAGGGGTAAAAAAACAATATTAATAAATAATATATACAAATATTAGTAATATTAATGATATTAACATACTAATATTAATGAAAAACTATCATTAAAAAGGTTATTTATAACACCAATAACAATTACTAGCCACTATACACTTGAATTATTTAGCATTTGTTGGACAGCCTGAGAAATACATTTATAGTACCTTGTCCAAGAGCAGCTGGTTGGTTCTGGGTTACTATCCACTATACACTTGAATTCTTTAGCATGTGTTGAACTGTCAGGAATTATAACCACTGACGCAGGAGGATCTAAGAAAAAATAAGCAGCAAAATATATCCATAAACACTATTTATTTGTGAAAATAAAGCCTTAATTTTTACACTGCAGTTTATAGAGTAATAATTTTGAGAATAGTGATGCCTTCATGCTGTTTCAGAAATGTGAAAAATTATTTAAAAATATATACATTTAATTAACAAAATTGTTGGCGAACATAACATGTATTTCTAGCATGAGTCACTCACTAAAAGTTTCATGTGGTGTTCCTCATGGCTGCACGCAAAACAAATACACAGCACAACCTGTGTAGTCTGATTAAAAAATTATGAGCTGGTTCTTTTAATGATTAATGCAGACTCACGAACTTCACAGAATTTCCCAGACTGAACCAGTCTGACGAATCATTCTCTAAATGTAGTCACAGAATCCAGCTACTAAATCAACATATGAGTAATTTCCTTAACTGTAAGTTTGTGTCAGTGCATTACTGCTTTATTTATACACTCTAAAAAATGCTGGGTTAAATACAACCCAGCATTTTTTAGAGTGTAGCCATTAAACAACTCAGTTTCTGTGCAACCAAAAAAACAAATGTGAAAGGCACGTAACAGTCGTATGCAGATTGTTGGTTAATACACCATATGTGCACTTACAATGGATGTTTATTGTGTAGTCCAGCACAAGTTCTTCTTTTAGAGTGCCATGTTTCACCATGCACTGGACATTCTTCTTATTTAAGTGTTTGAATGTGGCCCCCAGTAGGTAGGACACAACAGTAACAGTCCCATCTGGGTTCACTGTATGATTGGTTATTGTCCTGAGGGAGTTATTCAGATCTCCTAATCTCCACATCACTTCTGCTGGAGGCCGAGCATTAGAGGCAAAGCATGATGCCAAATTCATATCTAAAGAACCAGCAACAGGCTCCTCCCCTCTCACATTAACCGCAGGACGAGCTACATAAAAAAAAAACAAAAAAAAAACAATGAATTTAATTAATCATTAAATTTGAACAATGACTAAAGTAGCCCCGCCTGCTTGTGGTCCTTTCAAAATTACAAGCATTCACTTTTACAGTTATCACTTGACACAAACCATTTCTGCAGGAGGAAAGTCTGGTAGCAAGCATGGAATATTTCAATTAACTCCACGATTTCCATCATTGTTAGGCATGGAAACACAGAGATATATGCAGGCATTATGACACAGAATAACATGTACAAGCCATCTTACCAAAAACTGTGACGTTGATGTCCGTCTCTAATGGCCCACTAGGGTATAGGTTGAAGGTGCATGTGTAGATCCCTTCATCCAGTAGCCTCATTCTAAGCAGCTGAATTGATCCATTTTTCTCTGCAAAGTTCCCAATAAATTGTACTCTGTCCTCTAATCCATTCCTTTGTTCAGTTTTGCCACCTTGTCGAATGACAAAGAAGGCGTCCTCCTCAGGCTTTTCTCGTGTTTTTTTCTTCCATATAATACGAGTTAGATCATCATCAGTTTTAGTAAGCTGACACAACAAAGTGGCATTTTCTCCATATATGACTGTTGTATCATGACCAATAACCTTTACACCTGGAAAATACATAAAATACATTTTAACAAACATTGCAGAACCTGGAAGTGTAGAAGTAGAGTATAATTATATGAAAGAGAATGGAGCATAAAAAATGTAGTAAAATGTTGTATACACTTAAAGGCTAGAGTATAGTACACAAATAGCTTACACATAAAAACCAAAGTGGGTTTTAGCAGACAATGTACAGTGTGTAGCTGAGTTGGGTCACCAGTATTAAAAATTAATGAGAGAAATTTAAACTACTACTATGGTGGCTTTAAAAAGCATGTCACTCCTTCCAAATAAAAACATCAATCACCAAACTTTTTTTTGTTGCTTTTTTTATGACAGCATCACTGCAGCTGTTAGAAGCTCCAGATACCATAGAAACAGCCTTAAATTGAAATGGTGTTGTGAAACTTCCCAAGATGGCCACCGAGTGAAATGACTCTGGAAAGGGACTTTGGCTTTTTTCAGTGGTAGTGGTTCTCAATGCATGCAGCCGTATCTCTTGTCAGATAGGACTAAACAGACACAGTGACTGTGAAATTGTTCTAGCAGAGTATTTTTATGTCATACTAGCGTGTGGTGTTTCAAACGCTTTGAAACAGTAAATCATTTTGTGAAGCAATTGGTTCAATCCATCACTAGTCTATGGGTGTATTCACACCTGTCTTGTTTGGTTCGATTGAATCGAACTCAAGTTCGTTTCCTCTCTTGGTGCGGATCTTTTGGGCAGGTGTGAATACAGCAATCGCACTCGGGAGTGGACCAACCAACCATATCGAGACCGAGGTGGTCTCGGTCCGCTTCCAAACAAACTCTGGTACGGTTGAATGGATGAATCAATGAATGGATGACCTTAAGCACACGTGTGGTTTTGTTTACAGTTTCTGGTTCACTTGCAAAAAAGGCTGTGTGAAAACGAATTGTATTTGGTCCGGACCAATGCAAGTGAACTAGCGGACTTTCCTGGTGTGAATACACCCTAAAGCTGTGTCCCAAAGTTAAGTGCGCACACTTTGAAGGCCACACCTCCAAAGTGCACGAAGGACTCTCCCAAGTGCATGAAGGACGCCGCCTTCGCAGGAGTTCCTAATTGTGCCACCAGGGGTTCCCGTCGCATAGCAACAGTGCGAGAGGAGAGCTGCCATCCTGACAGGACAGGTGGAGCCAGAATTGTTTTTTGTTTTTATGATTTACGTCATAATGGAGGAGATGGTGATGTACCTCAGGCTTAGCCAAGACCGAGGACAGGTGAGTTACACTGGTTTGCTGCATCCTTAAATGCGGGATTACAACTTTAAATGCTGGTATTGGCTTGGAGCTTACTTGAATAATGTAATGATACATGTGAAAAACTACAAAATACAGGCACACAGCAGTTCAAATGCTGACTGATATCTTACAGTACAAAGGTGCAATTTCATATAGTTTATTGTCTTGACCATGGTGATCATATGTAGACGGGTTTGCAACCCGGATTTTTTAGGCAGTTAAGCATAAAATAATAATAATAATAGAGCATTGTTCAGCTCAATGTACATCTCAGTGACAGCTGAACAGTGCTCTGTTTGGCCGGTCCGAGTCCTTCGGATGCAGTCTTTGATATTGTTAGCAACAATTTGTTAATATTCTGACAATAAATGTTGTTACTTTCATTTTCAAAACAATCAGTGGTGGTCTGAAAGGAAATACATTCGTTAAGTATTCTCGTACAAATGTGAAGTACTAAGTTTTCTTTTTTTTCTCACAGGACAGCAACACTAAAAATATGGTCTTTTACAACATGATGCATTGTTGTAGATTAAACTACCCAACAGTATATGAAGTAGGCAACTTTAAATGTAATAACCTTGAACATATTCAGAAGTAAAATGCACCATACACATTAGTGCAGCAGTAATTTTTCAGAACAATACTGTAGGGATGGCTCGATACCACTTTTTCAGAACCAATACCGATCCGATACCAAAAATTCTGAGTATCTGCCAATACCGATAACGATCCGATTCCAGCACAGTTTTTTTTAAATGAGTGTAGAATTTCTGTACCTCAATGTGTAGGTCGATCATCACTCTTTTGTATGTTACACACAATCTACTAAATATGGACAGCTTCATTATAAATAAAAAAAAATAAAAAATCTAAATCTATGACAAAATACTATTATAAACTGGGTTAATGGATAATTCAGTAGCAAAAGTTACTCTAGAAAAATCATGAGTGCACAATAATTTTATAAAATCCTAAACTTTTATTGAAAAAAAAAAAACATTATTTAGTGGGTAACAAATAAAAGTGAATAAGTGTAGGGCTAAATCTGGTAGGCCTACACATTGCTTTTTGTATTGTTGTAAAATACATTCATGAAAAACAAGTAATATATTTATATATAAATATATTCTATAGTAGTCAACATTTGAAGTGGATCAAAACCTTTCATCAAAGTTGTCTTAAAACCAAAACAATACCCGTTCTTGTCTTAGGACAACTTTGATTAACTTTTTTGATCCACTTCAAATGGTGACTACTGTATAAATTAAAATACATTTCTTTTAAATGTATAGCAGAGTAATGAGGCAGCAACATATGATAGATAAGATGAACAAGAAAGGCTATTAATAATCTTTCATTGCGCAAAAGTATTATGATACTAAAGGCTACTTACAGAGTGGCTCAAAGCGCTTATGCAAACTATTCATAGTGCTCTCTACTCCAGTCTTGGAGAAGGGTATAACTGCAGCCTGGAGATCTCCAAATGGGGGCGGGAACTCCAAAATAGGGCGTGGCTTCCTCCCATTGACAGACAAGCACATGACACGCATGCGCAATTTCCCCCCGCAATCCACTTCAGTGCAAACTCAGCCCCACAGCTGATTTGAAAGATTTTATTGGTTGTGTCAATTAAAGTGTTGATTTCCTACATTATGCTACAAAAAATGCTAACCCCTAAACCTACCCCACACCTGACCCTAACCTTAACCAGTGAATTTGACTGCACGGGCGGGATTGGCGCTGAATAGCGTGGTAAAGAAAGTTGCAGTTCAGGAGATAAACAGTTAATAAGATTATGCGATATGAGATCTTTCCGTAACTCCCCAACCGGACCTCACCGGACAATGGCACCTTTTTAGTTACACCCAGCGTCATACCCCCTCCTACCCTGCGAATTTCGAGCCCGGGGATGCCCCAGTTGCTTAGAAAAAAGCGATAGAGTGAAATCTTTCCCCTGCGCTGCGCTAGGACGGCTCGCGGGAGAGCTCGTGAGTGATTCCCGTTTATATCATTAAGCAGAGGTTCAAACTCCAGTCCGAACACCACTGGCCACAAGCTTTGGGCTCTGCTCTCACGGAGAACAGTTACTTATATAGCATATTTTATTTTAGATGAACTAGAAAAAATTTTACATTTATAAAGTTTTATTTTGAAATGTAAGTCAATAACAATTGGCTGGAGCCAGAGCCAATGGTGAAAGTCTTTGCGCGAGGAGACCCCGCCCCATTTTGGAGGTTCTGCCCACTTTTGGAGTTCATGCCCCATTTTGGAGATCTCCGGTCTGCAGTTATATCTACTTGGAGACTTGTGATCTAACCAGATATCCGGTAGAAATTTACACGATTTAGAAACAGCACGAAACTCCAGCAAGATAAATTCCTTTTATGCAAAACCATTTATCTTTATTTACAGATCAAGTATAACATTAGGAACATTTAATCATCTTGGAGAGAGTTTCATCGCCTTGACTGTCATAAACGAAAGTGACACACAGTTTGAATGCTGAATGGAGGATGACGGACAGCCGCTGTGGAGAGAAGAGTTTACGTGAACACACAGAATAGTATACGCACTATTTCGGATTTGGATCGCTCTCGTCTGACCGATACCCCATCCAACAGAAAATGCCAGTATCAGAGAGATACCGATACTGAATATCGGATCGGCGCACCCCTACAATACTGTATACCTTTACTTTTACTCTCGATACCTTAAGCATATTAGAGTATGCAAGATAATACTTAAAGAATAGTTCACCCAAAAATGAAAATTCTGTAATCATTTACTCACCCTCAAGTTGTTCCAGGTTTGGAATTTTCATTTTTGGGTGAACTATCCCTTTAAATATTTTAAATACGACTAGTTGTTTTTCCCCAATGTGGTATTAGTAATGACTAAAAGTAGTTTACTAAAGTATCTCAATATTTCTTCAACTAATTACTTTGTCATAGCTCTAAACAATTTCTCTTTTCCTTCTTTCCTTAAATCAGACCAGACCCGTGTACTGCAGGATGAACCTGAATGTGTCAGTGCTGGACAGGTTTTTTAACAGTTTTCGGGGCTGAGCAGGGAGGCCTTGACAGTGCTGCTGGATCTTCTGAGAAGTGAAAGGCAACAGTTGGGGTGCCACAATCCAGACCCTGGTGTTTCTTTTCTGTCTGTCAACAGTACAGTCACACAGAGTGGTCTCCAGAGTGTTTGACATGCATCATTCCACTGTCCACTGCATTGTCCTCCGAGTCGCAGAGGAGATGCTGGCCATTCGCCACCAAGTAATTCACCTCTCAAAGACCCCAGAACACTGAGGCAGGGCTGGGCTTAAAATTGATGTGGTTTTCTGATGTTAAACCAACGCTATGTTGTAAATAGTTGTAAAAAGTACTTTCAGTAATGTATAGAACAATTTGTTTTAATGTGTAAAAATTTTTATTTACAGGACAAAATAAAAAATAATAATAATAGTTTGTGTAAAAATTATAAGCTGCATTAAAAATGAACAATGTACATAATTTCTTCTCTTTTATTTACACATGTGAATATGCATAACAAAAATACAAAAAGCACAGAAAGTACTCAGGCTCATTTACAAATGTGAATATGAACGTATACAACTTACTCATTTCATTGTTAACTTACATAACAAAATTATATTACAGAAATTAGGTTGTTTCATTGACAATGTGACATTTAAAAAAAGATTTAGAAAAATTTTAATGTACCCATTTTTTCCCCACTGTTTTCTCTTGGCTAATAGAGAATGACTAATAAATAATTTATTTGTTAACCATTTTCTCAAGAAGAGAAAACCTCTTCTCCGGTGCTCTTCTCTCCTCTGTCTCTCTCTGGAGTTTGATGTCCTCCCTGAGTAGCTCCACCAGCTTCCACTCACTCCCTCACCTGTCCCAGGACACTTGCAATCCTAAGGCAGAGCAAACAAACCATGCCTGTTAACAACAACAGTACAATGAATTTCAGCAAAAAATGTGTGTATTAACTTGCTTTGTATTTTTAAGTCCTTCCCCAGCAGGCTAATTTTCTCCAGAATAGTCCTAAAACAAGAGAAAATGGAAACACTCATGAAAAATATTAAGACAGGGGTGCAATCTTAACATTAGAAAATATGACACAGCAGGACATGCATACAAAATACTGAAGTGCTCAAGTTTGGTTAAAGAGCAGGTCATATGGTATTTTAAAGTGTCCTATTATTGTGTCGGAGTTCCCTACAACAGGTTTAAATGCATCTAAGGAAAACATGTAATTTTCTCAGAATATACATTTAATATTAGACTCATTTGCCAATGATTTCTAAACGAAATGATATGCCATTGTGACGAGAGGGGCGGAGCCGAGAGCCGTGGGAACGGAGCGAGGCCGGTGGAGTAAATGCTAATGCGCGACACCTGCGCCACTCACCGGTCTCGAGTCCCACGGAGGAGCTCCGGAAGGATACAAAGGAGGAGTGACGACAGGGAAAGACGAGAGAGGACCAGGCCTGGATTTTATTTTGGGTTTTGGTTTCGTTTGTGCGCGGCAGTCGTCCGTGAGGGGCTGTCGCGCTATGTTGTGTGTATTTTATTATTAAAGTTTTGTTGGAGTGTTCGCCGGTTCCTGCCTCCTCCTTCCCAATCTACAAACTTTGTTACATTGGTGCCGAAACCCGGGAGGAAGGAGGGGCACGCTGCCAGAGATCCCTCGCCGCTGGCGTGAGTCCGCGGTGCCATCGAGCATGGCGGAGCAGTCTGCCGCCATTGACGCACGAGGCGGTGGGCTGGAGTGAGTTGCCGGGGGTTCCCGACTTATGAACTTTGTTACATTGGTGCCGAAACCCGGGAGGAAGGAGGGGCA